TTCTGGCAATGTCGCTGGAGCTGATCTCCCGTCGCCTGTCACATTTTGTGTCGGGTTAACAATGATTCCCCCCCTTATTTGGGCGTGCATTGCTGCGCTTGCTCAGACAGCCTGCGGAGATTATGTATCCACCAACTACCAAGAGTACAACGACGGAGCGCTAGGACACCGTCCTCACTTGGAGTTTCATTCCAGCTCCGAATATGCACCCCTTCTACAAGTCAATATATGGGATCAAGATGCTATCTCCGAGACGGGGTCCCATATATTCATCAAACATGATGGTAATGACTCCCCGCCACTCTCGTCGCCGCTCATCTTGGATGCCCACGACTTGAGTGCCGTCTATATGAATCGGACCTTTAAGAATGTGTTCGGTACTCGCGTCCAAGAGAATTTCGGCAAGAAGTATTTAACTTTTTGGGAAGGAGAGAAAGGCGATGGGATAGGTGACGGCTATGGGCTCGCCTACGACGACACCTACCGCTTGGTCTACAAAATATGGGCACAGAACATCAAAGTGCACAGCGACCTCCACGAGTTTGCATTCACAGGGAACGGAACGGCTTTGGTCACAGGCGTCAACGCGATCAACGCCCATGCGTCAGACTTCCTGGATAAAGGCTGGATAACACCCCCCAGATTCGAGGTCCTGGACTCTATCTTCCAGGAGATCGACCTCGAGACTAATGAAGTGCTTTTCGACTGGCGAGCGCTTGATCACATTAACCCCATGGACTCCTACGAGCCTATGGGCAGAGGATGGGATGCATATCACATGAACAGCATCCAGAAGGTAAGAGAAGGACATACGTCTCCTGACGACCTGTAAACACGCTCTGACATGCCATGGTTCTAGACCAAAGCAGGCAACTATCTCATTTCCATTCGTCACTTGCACGCTGTCTACCTCATCAACGGAAAAACAGGCGACATCATATGGACAATGGGCGGCAAACGCAACGACTTTCTCGAGTTGCCCCGCGCCAAAGAAGCCGAGTCAGCTGCACCCCTGCTGTCAATGCAGTGGCAGCATCACGCTCACTTCGTTGAGGGAACCGACGAGACCCAAATGACCCTATTTGACAACCATGTCAAGATCACCTCTCACGGCGTTTGCGACACCGATTGCTCGCGCGGCCTGCACATTGCTATCAATGACACTGCCTCACCCCCGACCGTCCAACTCCTACGCGAATTCCATCACCCATCCCACCTTCAGGCCCAGAGCCAAGGCAGCATGCAGCCCCTTTCGCCCTCTGCCGATGAACTGGGCAATGTGTTCATTGGCTGGGGGCGGTGTCCCACGTTTACGGAGCACAACTCGTCGGGCGAGACAGTCATGGACGTACAGTTTTCGCCGTGGCATAGCGACAACATTCCGGACGCGCTAGACAACTATCGCGCCTATAAAATGGACTGGTCGGCCACACCCTGGTGGGACCCTGCCATCGCACCACGGAAAAATGAGGATGGCGAGTTGGTCATGTACGTTAGCTGGAACGGAGCGACCGAGGTAGCCAACTGGGTTATCCGGGGAGCAGCCAGCGAGGATCTGGACGAAGAAGGCGAAATACTGGTTGCATCACGCCGGACCGGCTTTGAAACCAAGCTGACAGTTGGGGAGACTGATTGGCGCTATATCTGGGCCGAAGCCTTGGATAGCCAGGGAAATGTCCTCCGATCGAGTGAAGTCGTGGACCTGGACACAGCGGATTTATCAGTTGCTCATGACACCTACGATGAGCCTGATTCCACCTTCATCCCCCCGCAGGACATACCCTCTGGATTGTCTATAAATACAGTAGTCTTCTTGGCGAGCGGGCTGACCGTTGTTGTGTTGGTGACACTTGCAGCGGGGGTTATGTGGTGGCGCAGGCGTAAGGCGTACAATCGCCTGGAAGCGGAGGACTTCGATCTCGCTTCTGATGACGGCTTTGATGAGCATGATGACGATGACGAGGAGGCTAGTGATAAGGATGCTGATGTTGATCATCACTCCAGAGGCGATGAGGACCGTCGTGCTCTGATTCCCAAGACGGAGCAAAGGAACATGAGTAGCGTGTAGACTCTCATCTAGTACCTTTATTTGTAAATATATTCATATGACCTACTTTCTCCTAAGTTCAAAGGCTTGTAAGAGAAACACCTAGCTCCCCCACTACAGTGGTCTAAGCAATATCCTTGGGTGTCCACCAAAGTCTACCAAGGAAACCCATAACCAACAATATAACAACTATGGACAACCTTAACAAAGTTCCGGCTCCGCACCACCCGGCCTCCACAAAGTCTGTTACATCGACATGTTTACTATTTATAGTAGCATCGGCCTCGTGCATGTCGGTGCCCACGGAGGGAAGTATCACGTAATTATATTCTTTTATGGATGAAGCAACAGCCCAGGATCCCATGGGGTCGGGTTGATTGGGCACGAGTAGAATATCCAACTTTATTGTTGTATGCATGGATTCCCAGATTGTGTTTGTGGTATTAGTACCTTGTGTAAAGAGACATTCCTGTAGCATAACCTATCTTTTATACTCCAACGATATGAAGCTTAGAGAACTGTTATTCGGGTTTGCGGGAGAAGCAATCCCGAAGAGGGGTTGCAACGATGGAGCAGTGATGTTTTTACTCAAGTAGTGATATCTTACAATCTGTTCAACATTGATACCGATGTATTATCACATGATCATTACTCTGATATGTAGTACGAAGAAATCTACGATAGATATTGAATAGGATGTAAGTCCAGATAAGGTGAAGCACGCAATCCCGCGCCTCTATACGTGATTTGGACCCTGGAACGACCGAGAAACATTAAGGCAACGAGGCGGGGACTGAATGGCAGCCGCGCGCCATCCCTAGAAAGGAAGGGATCCCTTATCACCCGCTAACCCCCGCATTTTAGCAGTGACTCCCGTGGCCGCCGTTGATAAGCTCCTCGTCCTTGGATGGCTTTCCTTCCTGTTCCCGAATTACCCCTCGCTGCAACCACTCATACTTCTCTCCTGCCATCTCGCTAGCTGCACCCTGTATTTGACTAGCATTGTCTTCAATCAATCAGAATGAACGTCCGGAGTCGAACTGGCTGTTTGGCTTGCAAGAGTAAGTCTATCCGCTCCATCAATGGGCCGCCTGCATGACCACGCTGCCCAATGTCCTCGTGCTGATAAGGTATCTCAGAGCGCAAGCGTCGTTGCGGAGGTAAGATCTACAACTTGCTACATTTAGTACCTATTCCTCTTAGTGCCACAGAGTATCTGAGCTGACCAATCGCCATTCCAGAGGAGAAACCCGCTTGCAAGAACTGTATCGTGCGCGGATTCGAGTGCCCGTACCTATCGGAGAACCCGCAACTGATCAACCTGCGGTTCAAGATCTCTCTTGGTAGGTCGTCCTTGCATCTGACGCTTGGACTGTATCATAACCTGTTCTAGCGAATGGCTACCGGCTACCTGTAAAGAAGCAGAATCGGAGGCACTTCATCTCCGTTTCGGCCGAGGATGTGGCCTTATTATCATCTGAGCACAACCAAGAAATTGTACCCGCAGACAAAGATGATACACGCACCAAGAACGTAAATGGCCACGCACTTAACCCTGTCAGACTAGAAGGGTCGGTCTTTGCATCTCCTTTAGTCGATTGCAGTGCTCTTGAGCAGCAGCTCTTCCAATATTGTGAGTAAATTAGTCATTGACGCATCTGGTACTTCTAATTCTAATCTATACACAGACCTGCAGGTAATCAGCAGAGTGAGAGTCTTCCGTGATGATTCGAGGAACAAGTTTCGTTCTCTGGTCGTCCCCTTTTGCTGCGGACGGAGACCGTTGCTGTACGCGGTTCTGTCCGTCAGCGCCAATGACCGTCGCGCCGAGACAGTGCCGACACACATAAACTACGAACAGCTAGCGCTTTCATACAAATCGTTGGCCTTGCAGTCACTTAGAAAATCTCTTTCGGATGTTAGTAACGCAAGCGAGGCCCTCATGACCTGTCTCATTCTATGCACACTGGAAATTGCCTCAGGCTGCCAACCGGATTGGGTGCGTCATGCTAAGGGCGCCTTTGCCATTATAAACAGCTGCTCTAGCTTGATTGATCCCGAGATTTTGTTTTTCGCTCGGAGCTACTTCCAGTCTCGTACTGTCTTCTTCCGCACAACGGGCTGCCATGATGATCTGCTTGACAAGGATGCCGAACGTCTGCTCGAGTCCCAGACTGGAATCGACCATGGCATGGACTTTTTCTCGCAATGCACAACACTAGGTCTGAATTACACAGACGAGCGGACGGAAATACAGCCCCATTTCGGTTGTTCCCTCAGCTTGCTCGACATCATCGCACGGGCAACCGACTTGGTCGGCCAGAAACAGAAGCTTCGTCGCAACGGCTGCAACTCCTTCTTTTCCGAAGGGGAAATGATGCAGCGGGCCATGTCCCTACGAAGCGAGCTGGACCTGTTGCCGAAAGAACATTCCCCAGATAGCGACTATCTAACAACTTGCGGAGAGTGCTTTCGCATGGCTGCCGACCTATACTTGCAGCTGGCGTGCGACATCCCCTTAACTCAGCCCGCCCTCCAGACACTGCTAGCTAAACTGCTGGACCACATTGGCAAAGTCATCCGGGAGGATCAGGAGCGGCAACTCTTCCCGATGTGGCCACTGTTCCTGGCAGGGTGTCTGTCCACCACCGACGAGGATCGGGTGCGCGTTCTCAACTACTTCACTTACCTCGCCCACGCATGGCCAGTCAGCAACATCCCCATCGTGCGTAAAGCCACGGAGACAGTTTGGAAGTTTCGAGACTTGAACCCTCATGAGTGTGGAAGTGGGTTCGATTGGCAAATGATAATCAGCCGGATGAACTGGAAATTGGCATTGTCGTAGCTGTAACTTTTCAATTACACCATTTAACGATATATGAAGATAGCTGAACGAATTTATATGACGCTGATAGCAATCATGAATCCCAATTTATGCACCGCAGAATTCAACCTACAGCTTCGGAGCCGGAGCAGGTCTAATCTCCTCAAACTCCCTAGTCTCCCCCAACCGCCAACTAACATCGCCCTCCCACTTACCCGACTTCTTCTTATCTCCCTTCCACCTCCACCGATCTACTCCCTGCTTACTCTCCTTCAACAGCGTAAACACCCAGTCCCCAACAATTGGCAACATCTTAAACAAATGTCCCGAATCCCCCGAGCAAAGCACAACTGACCCCTCCGTCTCCGGCACAAAATCAATAATAAACTCCGAATCACTCGTATCCGCAAACCAACACAGCTTCTTCTCCACAAACGGCCGATCCGCAAACTGCGGCAACGACTCCCTCAACAATCTCCTCATCCTCTTCTCATCCTCCGCCGGCAACACCCCCTCGCTCTCCTGCAACGTCGCAGGCGGGTACGACACCCCCGATTTCGGATCCGTGTTAATGTACCCACCACCCATGGGGCAGATCTTCAGCAGGTTCGTCTTCGGATCCGGCTCGAAGTAGAATCCAAGATCGCGAGCATACGTCACTGGAATACCGCGGAGCATGGAAGTTTCCTCGTCTGTGAGCTTGACGTGGCCTAGGGACCAGGACTTCGCGACGACTTGGCCTCCTGCTTCTGGGACAAGAGTGGATGCTGCGGCGCCGATGGCTATGACAGCGAGTTTGCAGGGGTAGGTCTTGCCGTTCCCTGTGCGGACGCCTGTTACTTGTTTCTTGTTTGTTGGAGAGTAAATGAGTTCGGTCACTTTGCCGATGTCTTCACCTAGGAAGAATTTCACACCCCGGGCGGCGGCCGCTTCGTAGACGGCGCGGAGGGCATTGGCGGAGTGCGCGTAGCCTGCTAGTTGGTTGAAGTAGCCGTTCCAGCCCGGGAGGGGGCCGGTGAGTTGCCAGGCGATGTTACGGATGTCGGCGGGGGTTTTGATCGTGGATATTTTGCCTTTGTAGGTGGGGTGGTTGCGGATGGAGGCGAGGAAGCGGTTCATTGTTTGCGAGGCTTTTTCGGGGGCCGCGCCGGAGACGAGGTGTAGGAAGCCGGTTTGGTGGTAGTGTGGGGCGTAGAGGGGGGTTTTCCATCCTTCGATGGCTTGCTGTTGAGGGGAGGTGTTAGTTGTATGCTATGTGGTTGTGGGGGATTTGAAAGAGGGGGGCATACGAGTGTCAGTTCAGTGTACCATGGGTCTTCATATTCTGCGCGCACAATCTTGTTGATGTCATGGCCGGCGGAATAGCGGGCTGGGACTTGATTGTCTCTTTCGAACACGGAGACGTTGGTGAAGCCATTGCTGGAGAGGTGGAGGGCCGTGGTGAGGCCGAAGACACCGGCGCCGATGATGGCGATGGGATCGGATTTGGAAGTTGATACCATTGTGATGGTACACGCGGGCACAATTGAAAGTGGGAGAGGTGGGAAGTCAGCTCAAGTGATAATCACTGAGTGGGAGCATGAGAGATTGATTCGTTGGTGATGCGCTGCAATGGACTTATATAATAGTACTAACACAGAAATCAATTGGCAATTCATATGAATCATACCATGCCTAGGTAGCATGCTGTGATCGTGAACTCAGGTCGGCACTTACTTGCCTCCCCGCCGTACCTCCACCAGAATTGGAGTGCACATACCAGCAACGGCACCCATAGTGAAGCATGCAGCTTATCGGAGTGGCTCGAGCGTCTGGTGCAACATGAATTGTGGGTTAGCGCAAGCGATACATACCGGATACACTATCTTACTGTTCATGCGGGGATTGTCAGCTTGGAGAATAAGGGAGGGTGAGGCGTTAGCGTGAACGATGATCGCCGGTTAGTGTATGCGAGGGTCTGGAGATAGGCGTTGACGCTAGCAGATAGCTGTATCGGATGGATAACCTGTATCTAGAGTAGCCCAGAGAGATTATCAGTCGGTGGGTCTTGCATGAGGGGATACATGGCGATAGCCGATAGGAGGTGCGGGGGCTCCATTTGCAGCTGGAAAATTCGAAGCCAATCCTGTTTCGAGGAGGGACTTTGGCTGAGTTACACATCTGACAATAAGTCATGCTTCAGAAAACGGTGAGAGTAGATAGTAGCAGATGGCATTCTTGCAAGAGAATGCATTGGTTTGAAGATTGACGAAAATTAAAGTTGAATACTGAGCTTGCATGCTGGGATACAATTGAGATGGAGTTGTAGAGTGAACAAGCTGAGTCGAAGTAGACCGCATGATCACCTGATTCAGTACTAAGAGACAGTCCCTACAGCTGAAATTAGGCATTACGAGATTATTGTCTACTTATGGAAAACATAGCATGAAGTGGTTCGTTTATCATTGCGAGTTCTAATTTTACACAATCCCCAGCCTCCAGTGTCATATCTCATGGCGCCTGTATAGATTTCAAACCATTACTCGTTGCTGGGGTACCGGAAGCCGTTCAAGGGGAAGAATTCCTCCTTGATCGTTCTGGGACTGGCAAATCTCAGAAGCACATTGGCGCTTCCAGCCTTGTCGTTGGTTCCGCTCGAGCGACTGCCACCAAAGGACTGTTGTCCGATCAGGGCGGCAGTAGTCTTGCAGTCTGTTGCGTAACTTGTTAGTAGTGACTTATAGAGAAGAACAGTATGATCACTTACTGATGTAGAAGTTTCCAGCCGAATACCGCAAGGTATCCTCGGCCTCGCGGATGGCACGCCGATCACCTGCGAACACAGCTCCGGTCAAAGCAAAGCCACCGCCACTCTGGTCGACCGTCTTCAGGACTGAAGACCACTCGGCGTCAGGATAGACGTGGACTGCGAGCACTGGACCGAAGATTTCCTTGTCGAACAGCTCATGGTTGGGGTCCTTGGCCCGGTACACAGTAGGGTGCACGTAATATCCGGTTGAGCCGTCGTAGGTACCACCGGCAATCAACTCCAAGGATGGATCCTTGTTGCTGGCATCGATGACCGACTTAATCTTCTCGAAAGATGCTTTGTGGATGACAGGGCCCATGAAAGCTCCCATCTCCTCCGGCAACCCGATCGTGATCTCCTTGATCTCGGACTTCAACTTCTCCAAGAACTCCTGTGCCCGAGACTCAGGCAGGTACAGTCGGGACGTCGCCGAACACTTTTGTCCCTGGTACTCAAAAGCACCCCGAAGGGTATGGTAAACAGCACTCTGGATATCAGCAGTGGGATGAACCAGGTGGAAGTTCTTGCCGCTGGTCTCGCCAACTAGACGAGGGTAGTCCCGGTAGACCTTCTTGCCGATGTTTTCGCCGACCTGAGCATACAGAGAACGGAAGACGTCCGAGGAACCGGTGAAGTTGAGGCCACCAAACTCTCTGCGTCCAAGCACCGTCTGAGTGATCTCCTGCGCGTCACCTGTAACGAACTGGATAACATTGGGAGGCAGGCCAGCTTCGAGGAGGATCTTGTAGACGAGCTCACTCGCGTACACGTTCGAATCGGAAGGCTTCCAGACGACGACATTGCCCATAAGAGCTGGGCCGCTAATTAGGTTCCCGCCAATGGCAGTGAAGTTGAAAGGCGACACGGCGTAAACGAATCCCTCCAAGGGTCTGTAGTCCACACGGCTAGAGAAGGGTTAGTATTCGAGCATCCCAAAGTGAAAATGCTTGCACTCACGTCCACATTCCCTCAGTACCGCGGTCGGGCTGCTTCTCCAGCAGCTCAGCAGCATAGTTGCAGTTCAGACGGAAGAAGTCGGCCAACTCTGCAGCTGCATCGATCTCACCCTGCCAGATGTTCTTGCCTTGTCCCAACATCGTAGCAGCGATGAGTTCGTATCGGTATTTGCCGGCGACAAGCTCGGCAGCCTTGAGGAAAATAGCAGCCCTGTCAACGAAGGGAGTGTTCTGCCATGCTTCCTTTGCCTCCAATGCTGCATCAATAGCCGCATTTACTTGTGCAGCATTCACGCTAGGGTAGTTGGTGAAAGTAGTGGCATGTTCGGCGGGCAGAGGTTGTTGCAATGTGTTGGACACCGAGAGCGCTTTGCCTCCGACGTATGACTGACTCTTGAGCGGCAGCTGTGACTTCATCTGCTTCAAAACCTTTTCGACCTCTGCCCTTTCTGGAGAGCCCCTAGTGTAGTCCAGCTATCATGGAGAGGAGATTAGTATTTGTATGCCATGGTAGCGGATAAGAAGCCAGCAACTCACGTTGGGCTCATTTCTAGCAGCTGGCAGACGGAAAGGTACGGTCGCAACACCCCGAGCTCTGAGAACTGGAGCTCTAGCGGCACGGCGTCCTAGGGTGCGCACGCTGGGCGAGGGCTGAGACAAGGGTAGTTTGAAGGCCATTGTGATTGTTTCTGGTAGCAAAGGCCGTAGAGGAGAAACTGAGCGTAGACTTGGAAGTGACGAACATGGTGACCACCATTCTCCTTATGTATCAAGTTGGCCATGATGTTTGAGGAGCCAACTGCTTGACAGACCGATGTTCGGCGCTGTTGCAGCTGGAAGTGAGGAGAGTGAGGAGCAAGATCCACCGCGTTGGAGTACAACCAGCTGGCGGGTAAACTAGCCCGGCACTTGGACCTTCCCGGCTAAGAATAGTGGCGGGTAGACTAGCCTTCCGCTGGAGATCCCCCTAATGCGGGTAGTGACTGTTCCTTCGGTCTACATCTTGTTACGCCATTCTCCTTCAACCCGCCAGTCAGCCACAGCTTGGTTTGCCTATCGCGTGTAGATAGCTAGAGCGTTAGCTATCTTATCCCCGCAACTTTACCGATAGGCTTTGTCACCGGTTAGAGCGAGAAGGTTCTGCCCGACTGCCCCTCATACAGTACACAGCATGCCCGGTGAAGAGCATTATCGGGCTCTAGGCCTGTCAGGTCGATACATTGCTTGCCATAGCTCCAGCTTACAAGCCTGGTAAATCCTGACCACAACAATCCTAGGCCCCCAGGCTTCCCGATGCATCTCCACGAGGTATGAAAGCTCTCCAAGCCTTCAGCACAAGTCTGGGCGGCGCCTGAAAGGAAGCCGATTGATACCCCTGCTATCGAGCCGGTTGTATCTATTTAATAGGAATTCCCTCTTTCAGGGTGTATTTGAGTGCCTGGAACTTTGGAATGTCGCCGGAACGTGTCACCACGGAGCCATTGCACTCTCCTGACTGGGATAATGACTGGCTCAGGCAGTTGGCTGGCGATATTGTCGCAGGATCGCTGTCCGCAACCATTATTGCCCCGATCACAACAGTCATCGACCGGTAAATGTACTGAAGACGAACTCAGGAACTCCATGTGCTGATATCTCGAGTCCAGGAGCGTGGTGGAGAGGCTCTCCTCAAATAGATCCATCCTGCATACACTTCGCACACATGCCATCTGTTCCCTCCTCAAACCGAGAAAGTTCTACTTTTCTCGACCTTTCTTCATCGCTTGGTCTCTCTACGCCGCAACCTACGCTACGGCAAATGCTACCGACACAAGCCTCGAGCACCTTTCCAAAGTTACAGAGAAATCAACGACCGCGAGTCTCGTTCCAACGTTCAGTTTCCTCCCAACATATGTTGTCAATGTGTGTCTGGGAATCCTCAAGGATATAAGGTTCTCTCAGATTTACGGACACCCAGAAGGTCGTCTCAAGCAGCCACCTCCCATCCCAAGGCTCGCGTATATGGCCTTTCTATTCCGCGATAGCATCACTATATCCAGCTCCTTCACGCTGGCTCCGCAGGTGGCCTCGTTAGTTCCAGATTGGATCACTGCAGATCCGCATACCAAAAGAACTGTTACCCAGCTCGCTCTCCCCGCCTTGGTGCAATATGTGAATACGCCGTTTCATATGATCGCGTTAGATGTGATTGCTCGTCCACGGGTGGCCACAATAGCAGAAAGATCCGTTACGATACGGAGAGGGTATGTTCAGTCATCGTCGCTGAGGGCAGCAAGAGTTCTACCGGCATTCGGGGTGGGGTGTATAATCAATACAGATTTGAGGGCATCTCTGCACGAACGATGGATGGTTAGATAGAGAGAATATCAGTGCGGGGCACAGCAAGCGAGGATAACTTATCTCTCCACTTGATTGTCATGACTATCACTTTTGCGGGCACGTATCAGGACAGCGGCAGTAGCCGGACAGTCCCCAAGTATTTGGACCAGTTGCGAGGATCAGCAAAGCGAGTGACCAACTGCGAATGAAGATGCCAGATGCGGCTGCACTAACCCCTGGCCTCCGGGAGGGGTAACCCGTAGCGCCAGGTATGTCTGTTCTTGCTTTTGTGTATCTCCCCCGCCTGAAACTGTGTATGGTAAGGACGGGTATCGGGTGTTGGCTCGATGCAGCAACCCGTTATCTCTCTCCGGCGCATACACTAACCTCACCTGCAAGGTTTCACTAACGCTGCGAATAGCTTAATCTTCATCCCTTGGCCATGCTTCGGCGCCCTCCCGCTCCACATCTGCAGTTGAGCGAGCCATCTACAGCAGGCGTGGGTAGAGATACGTGCCCAGACGCTATCGAAGCGAATACTGATTAGCCAACGATTACTCGACCAAAAGTATCGTATCTCACTGACATTTTCCCCCAGACGCTAGTCAACTATGCTTATCCCCGCATCTCTGAGCCTTCCAGTTCTGCCGTTCTATCCAATCAGGCTACAGATCGGCCATATCTATCCACGAGCTTCCGCGGCGGAAAAGAACTGCCACCAGGAATCACTATCAGCAGCCAGGAGACAGCCCTTGAGGGTCAGAAAACCAAAATACACGTATAGAAGATACGTCATACAAGACGGAGATAAACCGATAGCTCGCAAATGGTCCTTATGCATTGGTCGAATGCAGCCGGCAGGCTGACATGGTCATTGATGCCTCAGGCAGATATCATATTGGCCTCTCACTGGGTCAACACCGTCACCAGGTGCAAGCCAACTTGGCTCAAATAGGCCAGATGCTCTCGAGTCTCACCTGAAAACCTCACTACTTTCTGTGCTCAGTGTACTGTACTCACATTCTATTGACCCTTTCGTATTGGATACCAATCTAATTGACCTACCACTTCTTTATCTTAGAAAGAATGAGTGTTCCGATGGAATCCAGAGACCTCGCAGAGATTCTCAACTCCCCTGCCTATGATTACGGACAAGATGTGGAGAAGAAGAAGAATTTAGATGATACATCCCCTGAAGACGAAGATCCATTTGGAAATGAAGAGTTTGCGGAGGTAAAATACCGAACGATGGGTTGGTGGTAAGCTTCAACTCCCCTGCCCCTAGACTACTCTTGGTCCTGTATCTGACCCTTCTCTTCACAACATGCAGGAAAACAGGGATACGTGAGCCTCAACCTCCATGCTGTCACCCATCAAACATATAGAGCCCTAACCTTTTTTATACACAGTGATGGTTGCAGAGAATGTTTCCATTGGAATTTTATCTCTTCCATCCGCCTTTGCAACTCTGGGCTTTGTCCCGTAAGTTACTCACTTACTAGGCAGACGAAAAGCTAAGTCTAGCTTAGGGCTCTTATCATACTAATTGGAATCTCTGGTATATCATGGTATACTGCCTACATTCTCTGCCAGTTCAAGTTACGATACCCCCAGGTCCATAGCATGGGAGATGCGGGTGAGATTATCATGGGACGATTTGGACGTGAACTGCTTGGTATTGGGCAGCTGTTATTCCTTATATTCGTCATGGCCAGTCACGTATTGACCTTCACGGTCCTTATGAATACGATTACCGAACATGGTACCTGCACAATCGTGTTTGGTGTCATTGCATTGATTGTCAGTTGTGTTGGTGCCCTACCACGCACCATGGACAAGGTATATTGGATGTCGATCGCATGTAAGCATATTATAGGGCTCCTCATATTTCACACTTCAAGTCTAATTATGGGGCTATCTTCATTTCTGTGTAGCATTCCTCAGCATTGTGGCGGCAACCATGGCCACGATGATTGCGGTCGGCGTGGAGTACAAAGGCCACATTCCCCTTGCTGTGACTACCCATCTCAGTTTCAACGAAGAATTCCTAGCAGTCAGCAATCTGTTTTTCGCCTATGGTAAAGCCCTGACTTGTCACACTCTGTTCAATCTAACTAACTTTACGACAATCACAGTGGGCCATGCGTCGTTCTTCGGGTTCATCTCAGAGATGGACAAGCCACGAGAATTCACCAAGTCCATATCAGTGCTCCAAGTAATTGACACTTCGCTATACATTGCCAGCGCAGTGGTCATATACCGCTACGTTGGCGCGGACGTTCAATCCCCTGCCTTAGGCTCTGCGGGGCCTCTAGGAAAGAAAATCGCCTACGGACTGGCTATTCCAACGGTATGTCACTTACCATAGTCAACTATCGTTTGGAGCGACTGCTGACCCATTATCCCAGGTCCTTATTGCTGGGATTGTCAATGGTCATGTAGCCAGCAAGTACGTGTACGTGCGTGTTTTCCGCGGCACAAACCACATGCATGAACGGACTCTGCTCTCCATCGGGTCATGGGTCGCTATTGGATTGATTTCCTGGGTAGTTGCCTGGGTAATCGCAGAGTCAATTCCGGTCTTCAACAACCTTCTGAGTTTAATTGTACGTGGTCTTCTCATAGTACCAAACACACATGCTAACTCTAAACTATAGACTGCACTTTTTGGCTGCTGGTTCGCTTGTGAGTTTCAGATACCACTAATATCTTGCGGAGTAATCCTAACCATGCTTTATAGATGGGTTCCCTGCTATCTTCTGGTTTACCTTGAATAAGGGCCAGTGGTTCGCATCAAGCAGGAAAATATTTCTTACCTTGTCCAACACGTTCATTCTAGCCATGGCGATCACCCTTGTATGTATTCCCTAGCCTTAACGGAATCTTGTCGCTAATTATCTTTCCAGTGCGGTCTCGGATTATACGTGTCCGGTGATGCGATCAGCAAGGATAGTGGTAGTGGAGTTTGGACGTGTGCCAACAATGCTGTTTGAGCGACCCCTGCTCAACCATAACCAGTCATGTTCGATGTTACTCGGTTGTCCAGCCATATACTGCTCCTGTGATTATGAAATCAAATTTTAACTTGTCGTTGTCGATTGTATCATGATCTTTTGATCATGTCTTGCTGTATCAAATAACATGAGTATGTTATTTAGCGAATTTGAACAAATCAGCTCAATATTTCACGATGAAAAAAAAAAAAAAAAAAAAAAAAAAAAAAA